CTGTGAACGCGATTGCCTCAAAAGATGGGGACATTTATATCATGGGCGGGCTGATCAACGGTTCCATGGTCCGGGGCGACTTGTGGATGGTCGAGTCTGGCGGCGGAAATCTCTCTTGCTATCCCATCGCCACAGTTTCGGAAGGACCTGGCCCCCGTGTTGGACACGCAAGTCTGCTTGTTGGCAATGCTTTCATCGTGTTCGGCGGTGATACCAAGATGGACGATAATGACGTGCTCGATGACACTTTGTACCTGCTTAACACCTGTAAGTGGATCAGTCTCGAGTTTCCCTTTTCAAGTAGATTCTTGCTCACCATCCTCCAGCTTCCCGGCAGTGGTCGAGGGCAGCGCCTCCGGGTCCACGACCCTCTGGACGATACGGCCATACCCTCAATATTCTGGGCTCCAAGATATACATCTTTGGGGGTCAGGTTGAGGGCTATTTCTTCAACGATTTAATAGCTTTCGACCTGAACGCCTTGCAGAACCCGCTAAATCAGTGGGAGTTTTTACTGCAGAACACGGGAGACGATACCGTCGGCCCGAATGCAAAAGTGCCTGCTGCGAGGACGAATCACACGATCGTCAGCTATAATGACCAGTTATTTCTGTAAGTGAAGCACGATAGGCTCCCGGATCTTGTTTAATCAATTCTTCTGTAGATTCGGGGGCACCAATGGCACTCAATGGTTCAACGATGTCTGGACGTACAGTCCCATCACCAATGTTTGGACACAGCAAGACTGCATAGGATATATTCCTGCTCCTCGTGAAGGCCACTCTGCCGCCTTGGTCAACGACGTCATGTATATCTTTGGCGGCAGAACTGAAGAAGGAACAGACCTTGGTGATCTGGCAGCCTTCCGCATCTCATCAAAGCGATGGTACACTTTTCAGAACATGGGCCCTTCGCCGTCACCCAGATCTGGTCACAGCATGACAGCGTACCGCGACAAAATTATCGTTCTTGCTGGGGAGCCTAGTTCAGCACCGCGGGATCCTGCAGAGCTCAGTATGGTTTACGTACTAGACACTGCAAAAATAAGGTACCCAAATGATGCACCAGCCGCTGGTCAACCCGCAGATTCCAGGCAGCCCAGCAGCCCGACCCGAAGACCAAGCACAGAAGCAAGATCTGTTATGCCTATCCGTTCAACATCGCGAGAAGGGGCAAGAAGTCAGAATGCATCTCGGGAACAGTTCGCGGGTGGTCCGGTCCAAAGGCCAGACGCTGCGCAAAACAACGCACAGTCGCGACTGCCACGAGCATCTATGGGGCAGGCGCCTTCTGGACCTCCGCCCCAGGGACAAGCGCCCACGCCACGTGCGAATGGAGTCCAGTCTCCTCCAAATGCCCCCAATGGTCCAAAATCCCGGTACAATGGTCCGCCGCTCGACACAAGAGGTGCCGCAGCCGGCGCGGATGGCGCGCGAACTGCTCCTCCAGATGGGATAATACAGCCTCCAGCGGTGAGAGATGTACAGAAAGAGAATATCAGGCCTAGCCGCGAAGGAAGCCCGAGCACTTTTGGGCGCAGGACTCCAACACAACGAACAGAATCCAAGGCAAAAGCTATGGAAGCAGGTGAAGCAGCTCCACTCATGAGCAGCGGTGTGGCCAGACAACGATCCCTCAGGTCCCAGCGAGCTCAAAGTTCAATCGATAGCACAGAAGACGGGCTTTTGGGGCGCTCGTCCTCGGGCAGACATCATGGAGAATCACAAGCTGATAACCGAAGCTTACGAAGCATACCTGGCGATGAGCCCAAATCTCCCAAGATGAATGCTCATCAAGAGGCGCTTCTCAAGGAGCTGGAAACCGTGAAAAAGACAAACGCCTGGTATGCCTCAGAACTAGCTCTTGCTCGGAAGCAAGGTTACCATACCGGCATTTCCTCTAGCCCTACATTCGACGAGCGGACCGTCAGCCAGGTTGCAGATGACGATCGACCACTAATGGAAGCCTTTATGACCATGAGAACGGAAATCATCAAGATGCAAGAAGCCATGGAATCGCAAGCCACGGCGATGGCAAGACGGATTGCCGAGGTGGAACATCAGCGTGATGCCGCAGTTACGGAGGCTGCATACGCACGAGCCAAGCTTGCAGCCCATGGTGGTAGCCAGCGCAGCACACCTCAACCCGACGCTGGGCGCGAATCTGACGAGCAAGAACGTTTCACTGACCTTTCACGCCGGCTCGCTTTAGCTCTCGCTGCACAGTCTGAGCACAAAGCCAAGCTTGATTCCTTGAACAACGATCTTGCTTCCGAAAGAAAAGCTCGAGAACTGGCAGAAGAGTCTATTGACGCTCTTCAGCTCCGGTATGATGAGCTAAGTAAGAATCGAAATCCGGCTGAACTCGAGGGTCTCCGTGCTGAACTTCACGAAGCTCAGAGTTTGGCGCGAGCAGAGGCAGGCCGTAGAGCCGAAGTTGAAGAACAGTTGCGAACATTGCGGGTTGATCACGACAGTTTGATCAAGATGCACGAGGATACATCATCGCGGCTAGCGAGTCATACCGCGTCGATGGCTGCTTTGGAAGCCGCCGTGGCAGCGTCAACGAGCAAAGCCAGCCTTTATGAACGGCAAATTGAAGAAGAGCGCGGGCAAAGAGAAGTTGCAGAGAGGAAACTATCTCAGTTAAGAGCCGAGCATGAAGACAGAACTACAGAACTGGAAACCGTCTCGAAACGCCTGCGTGATGCCGAAGAATTGGCCGAAACCCACGCCAGGGAAGCTGCGACTCATCGCGAGGCTCTTCTCGCCGGGCTAGCCAAGCTGTCATCTTCCGACACAGCCTCTAAGCAAGACGCGATGGCTGAGCAGAAAATGGCAGCTCTCCGTGAATCGGCCGAGGAAGCCTCAAGTTTGGCCAAGCGCAACCAGGAAGCTGCGGATAAAGCAGCACAGAAGCTACGCAATGCAGAAGAACGAATTGCCGGACTGGAAGCGTATCAGGAACAATCCAGTCGCGAAGCTCTCCAGGTCCGGCGACAGTTACAGACTGCTTTGCGGGATACGCAAAACTACCAGGCAGAGATTCGCGAATTGCGATCAAACCTTGAGATGCATCAGCGAGATGCTAGCGCGCTTGCAGTTCAACACAGTGCGCTCAAAGACCTGTTAGGCGAGCGCGGCATGAATGTCTCCGATGTCAGACGGTCGCCCATATTTGAACACTCTCCAAGCTCTCGCTTTGGCACACCGGAGCAAGCGCGTCTCCGTGAACTCGATCAACAATTACAAGCCAGTATCAAAGCTCATGAAGAGACTAAGAGTCAATTCGAGGCTCGTATGCAGGAAGCCGACAGCACTTACAAAGAGAAGTTGGAGCAGCTCGAGAACGATTATCAGTCTGCTGTACATTACGTCAAGGGCACCGAGAAGATGCTGAAGAAGATGAAGGAAGAGCTCACCAAATACAAATCCCAAAACGCGCAGCTAACGGGCGAATTGGAGACCGCTCGAAGTACCAGTGCAGCTTCTGGGACGGCCGCCGACACCTCGGCCTGGGACAACGAACGGAATCAACTTCAATCCTCGATTGAAGAGATGAGGACGCAGACGAGCAAACAAATTGCTCAATTAGAATCGAATATTACCTCACTGAAGTCGGAGCTTTCAACTATACAGGCAGAGAGAGATCAGCAAAAAGCTAGTCATGAGGAGCTCACACTAACTGCGCAAAAACTGGGCAAAGAACTGGAGCAACTCAAGTCGGAAAACTCGATGCTCGAAAAGCAGGCGGAAGAGGCCGAAAGTCGGGTGACAATGCTCCTAGATCAAGTGGGCCAGTCAGTAGGAAACTATCGACGTCAGTCACAGTTACAGCCTCTGTCTCATGGCATCAATGGTGTTGGCCACAACCGAGAGGAAAGTACTTCGACGCTAACAGATGTCTCGGTCAACGATGACGCTTTATCTCGAGACGAACGAGGATCTATTGCCCTGGACAACTTGGCTTCCGAGCTGGAGACGCTCCGATCACAATGGGAGAGTACGAGCAGGAACAACTATCGGCTTAGCACAACTTTTGACTCGGAGAGGACACCTACCACAGAGAGTCATGGGACGGAGCTGAGTGATAATCTCGCCAACTGGAGGCGGCGACTTGAAGAAGAAGAAAATGGTACAAGAGAAACGTCGACTGTCGCGTGAAGGAATCCGACTTCATATTCAATGTGACACTAACGACAAGGATTGGGTGCTTATGTAAACAAACTCAGCCTCTCTTTTTTTTTTATATTCCTATTGGAGTTATTGTATCTCCTGGGAGCTAAATATGCGGATGACAGTGACGAAACAAGTTTCATGGAGCTGTCTACTGGCTAGGAGCTCAATGTAGTTTTAATTGGCAGATCCTTGAGCGCAGAATTGTTAAATACGGGACGGAATTGGGATGTGGTTGGTTGGGCGTGGCAGGATGAGTCCCAAATTAGATGAATGGATGTCGAACAAATACATGCGACCATTAGCCACAGGCTTTACAATCTCGTGAATGGTGAAGATGTTTTGAAGAGTGGGCTTTCACAACGAAGCGAGATCTGGTGAGGCTTGCGTTGTTGCACGTGACCTTGTCAAATATGCTCGCTCTGCAAGGCTGGTTCTTGCGGCTCCCCGCATTTTGCTGCAGGCAAGGTTTTTGGTCAGGCGTCGGCCGTGATGCCTTCGTCTCCAGTATCCGTGTCACAGGCGGCCAACTACCATTTAGGCCCTCCCAGTTCACATCACTTCCAGTACTAATACCGCTTCTTATTCAAACACAGATTGCTGACATTATTAGATAGGCTGGGGGCTGCCGCGGGACGACCTCGACCGGCCATTGCATTTTCATCCTTGATCTCACATCTGCCTCAAGTCACCGCCCATTTTGCGACCCGATCGCTCCTGCCGATGTTACGATTCTAAGAAGTCCTTGTTGTGACATGCCGGCTCAAGTACCATGGTTCGTGGGACATGCGCGAACCTGATCTAGCTACACCCGCCACGAAGACCATGGCGTCTCACAATGGTCCGACGAGTGCCGGGTTGGGGCCACTTGATGTGAACCGCCGCCGGCCTGCAACTCAAGAGGGCGAACAATCTACGGCTCAAGACATGCTCGAAGGTGGAGGTCGCTTCCCATCAAGCTCCGCCCTCAAACAACCGTCGCTGCTCAGTGGCCCTGGTCGAGGCCAACAAAATGGGTCCACCCCAAGAATAATACCTCAAGATGCGGAAGACTATTTGACGGCGAGGCCAGTTGCTTTATTGCAACGCACCAAGAGCGATCTCGGGCCTCGACGCAAGGAGGGACTTCAAAAAGTTGCGGCAGAGGACAAGCTGGCACACATTCGACATGGTTGGGACGATGAGTACACGTCGAACGAATACCTGTCACTATTACACTCGACATTTTACATGTACTACACGGAAAAGCGGCACGAAAGCAACGGCTCGTTGTCTGAGGAATCTAAACAGTTTCCCAGCGTGGACTGGCGCATGAAAGATCGGATGAAGACTGTGTCTGCGGCATTGGCCATCTGTCTCAATATCGGTGTGGACCCTCCCGATGTGATCAAGACGAATCCCACTGCGAAGCTCGAAGCGTGGGTTGACCCGACGGCAAGCAGTGGTGGTACGACAAAGACGATGGAGCAAATTGGTAAACGCCTGCAGGAGCAATACGAGTCGTTGAGTCTGCGGACAAGATACAAGCAGTATCTCGATCCGTCAATCGACGAAACGAAACGGTTTTGCATCTCATTGCGTCGTAACGCGAAGGATGAGAGGGTGCTTTTTCACTACAATGGCCATGGTGTACCTCTGCCCACCCCGTCTGGGGAGATCTGGGTCTTCAACAAGAATTACACTCAATATATACCGGTGGGACTTTACGACCTGCAGTTGTGGCTTGGGGGGCCCAGTCTTTTTGTTTACGACGTCTCCCATGCTGGCAATATTGTCTACAACTTCGACACATTCCTCGCCAAGCACGAAAAGGAGAATGAGGAGCTCAAGAAAAGAGATCCAAATGCACCTGTTCAGAACTACGGGGACTGCATTCAGTTGGCGGCTTGCGGGAGAACCGAGATGTTGCCTACGAACCCAGAACTCCCCGCCGATCTTTTCACATGTTGCCTGACGACGCCGATAGACATAGCACTGAGATACTTTGTGTTGCAAAATCCGCTTCCCAACGGACCTGCCATCGAAGATGGGAAGATACCTGTCCCAGGCCGCTTACAGGACAGACGGAGTCCTTTGGGGGAGCTCAACTGGATTTTCACAGCCATCACTGACACTATCGCTTGGAACATCCTACCGCGACATTTGTTCAAAAAGCTTTTCCGCCAAGATCTTATGGTCGCAGCACTGTTCCGCAATTTCCTGTTGAGCGAGCGTATCATGAGGGCAAATCATTGTCACCCTATATCATCGCCAGCTTTGCCAGAAACACATCGACATCCTCTTTGGCAGAGTTGGGATCTTGCCATGGAAATGGTGTTGGCACAGCTACCTATGCTTCGAGAAGCTGAAGAGGGGAAACGGGTCTACGAATATCAACACTCGACGTTCTTTTCGGAACAGCTGACAGCCTTCGAGGTGTATCTCAGCTCTGGTCCAACCAAAGATCGTGCCCCTGACCAACTGCCGATCGTTCTCCAAGTCCTCCTCAGCCAAGTGCATCGACTTCGTGCTTTGATTCTGCTCAGCAAATTCCTGGACCTCGGACCGTGGGCTGTTCACCTAGCTTTGAGTATTGGAATCTTCCCTTATGTAGTGAAGCTTCTCCAAGCAGCCTCTTTAGAGCTCAAGCCGGTGATGGTCTTCATTTGGGCTAGAATCATGGCGGTTGACTATACGGTGCAGAATGATTTGCTCAAGGATAACGGCATCCACTATTTTATTTCCATCATGAACCCCCGTTCAGATATTCCCGTCGGCAACGCCAGCGAACATCGAGCCATGTGTGCCTTTATCGTGGCCACGTTCTGCAAGAGATATCCTCCAGGCCAGACAGTCTGCCTGTTACCTGAACTTTTCAGTGCCTGTTTACTCAATATGGCAGAGCCTGAAAACCCCTTGCTACGACAGTGGTCTTGTTTGTGCCTCAGCATGCTGTGGTGCGACTATGCTGATGCGAAATGGATGGGCATTCGCTGCATGGCTCATGCCAGACTCTGCGAACTGTCACTTGATCCCGTTCCAGAAGTTCGAGCCGCCATGCTCCATGCGCTTACCAACTTCCTCGGCATTCCTGATCTAACTGATCAGGTGTCTCAGATTGAAGAAGGTATTGCCTCTTCTGTTCTTTTTATGACATCTGATGGTAGCACATTGGTGAGGAAAGAGCTGGTTGTCTTCCTATCCCACTTTGTGAAGCGGTACGAGAACAAATTTATCGTCGTTGCGTACGAGCAGCTCGTGGAAGAAAGGGACAGACACCCATTCAAGCAGTCCGAGTCGAGCAGCTTTGAAGCTGGTGATTCTCTCAAGTGGATGCCGATCTCGGCAAACACAATTTATGGTTCGATCTGGGTTCAAATTTTGATGCTGTCTGTCGATCCTCACCCAGAAATTGCGCGGAATGCCTCAATCATTGTCGACCATGTGCACGATACCTTGATCAACTCTCCCATGAGTCACATGGCGATAGCCGTTATTGACGACCTGTTGCGATTCTCGAAGAGGGACGAGTGCCAGCTCAAGAAAGTTTCGTCCCGGGATTCGCTCCGGGCGATCGAGAAACAGCCGGGCACTCCTCCTCCCACATTGCCAAAACAGCAGAGCTATCTGTCACTAAGCCTGAAGAGAGCAGGCAGCTCGCTCCGCAACCTCGCCTTTGGTACTGGTCCTTCAAACCCTTCAGCTTCTTCAAGGGAAAACAGTCCTCAAACATCTCCCACTAAAACAAGGGAACTCGTTCAACCTGTCAATACTCCTCGAAGTCGTCTTCCGCCTGAATGGAGCCGTCCACCAGAAACAACTGATACGAGGAGCGCCCCTGGATCGTATCACTCGGCCGTTCTGCCCACTTCGGCGGGCTTCGTTTCGCTAGATCCGAAAAAGCGACCGGTCTTCCCGCTCCAGAGTACTTTGCTAGACTGGTCAACCGAATATTTCCGTGAACCGCAAATGAGACCCAATGATCCCGACGAGCCCGGCTCGGCTGACTACAATTCCAGACTATGGCGGCGCAACCGCAACGAAAAGATTATTGCCGACAATCAACCACTAAAAGGCATAGCAGGAAGCTCCAAATGGACTCGCTACGAAGGTTTCCTCAACAACCAGAGCCAGCCCATGAAGCTGACGTTCCATCAATTTGATAACCACCTTGCCGTCACCGACGACAAGGATACCGTCACTATCTGGGATTTTCAGAATAATGAACAATTGAGTCGGTTCAGCAACGGGAATCCCACGGGGAGCAGAATCAATGATGCCAAATTCTTGAACGAGGATGATCAGCCTCTCCTGATGGTAGGTAGTTCCGACGGTGTTATCAAGGTATACCGCAACTACCATAGTTCAGCGGACGTCAAGGTGATAACTGCATTCCGGGCGTTGACGGAGCTGATCCCTAGCAACAAGAACGCTGGATTGGTCTTTGACTGGCAGCAAGGGCAAGGCAAAGCCCTCGTGGCGGGAGACGTAAAAGTCATCAAAGTGTGGAATGCGGCGACGGAGCTTTGCGTTGGGGACATTCCGGCACGCAGTTCTAGCTGTGTGACCAGCCTGACTAGTGATCAGGTGGCGGGACAGATCTTCATTGCGGGTTTTGGAGACGGCGTGATCCGCGTGTTTGACCAGCGACTCAACCCTCGGACATCGATGGTCAAGCTCTGGCGCGAGCATAGACAGTGGATAACGAATATTCACATGCAGCGTGGTGGCGTGAGGGAACTCATCTCTGGAAGCAGGAACGGGGAGGTGAAATTGTGGGACCTGCGGAATGATAAGGCCGTTCTGACGTTGAACGCTACTTCATCAGCCCCATCGCCTTTAAAGCCCGAACATGGCAAAGATGGGACGAGTACTGTTGGAACTAGCAGCTCCACAGCGTCCACGGCGGCAGGCTCGACGACACTCCTACGCAGCCTCTCCGTACATGAGCACGCTCCAGTCTTCGCCGTGGGTACCGACAAACACGAAGTGAGATCGTTCAACACAAATGGAGATACATTGGGTATTTTTGAACCTTCGAGCAGTCGAATGGCGCATGTCGTCGGTGGCAGTCTTGCAGGCAGGGGGCATCAGGCTCCAATAGTGGCAACGGCATACCATCCCCATCGCATGTTGCTGGCGTGTGCGGCGTTAGGAGACGGGCACGTTAGTTTGGTGACTTACTGAGAGGTCAGCCGATGAAGCTGGAGAGTTGAAGACAGCCAAGGTATTTGGGCGAAACCCCTTTGGCTTCTTGGGGAGATCAGGAAGGGCAGAGAACGCAAGAGCCAAGATGAGGACACCGTTTCTCTGTGCAGAGACAGTATGAAAGCCTTGGTTCGCTGGGCTAGAGCAGTCGAGATATTCTGCGCAAAGCTCTGGAGGTTTGCTCAACTGGATGCGCCATCTCGGATCAGATATGGAGAGCACACGGGACAGGACGACAACGATGAAGACAGCATCATTAATCTTAGCATTCTTTCTCCGACGGGCGGGAACGCAGCGGTGAGCATCACGGGCATAACATGATACTAGGCCAAGGAATGATGAGGGGAGGCATAAAGGGCGAGCTTAGTTTTGAGCGGGCGTTAACATGTGCTGTATGCATTCAAAGGGTGATACAGTAGAGTAACATCACACGCACGCGATCACTAGGCTCCTGATACGTCTCAGCCCCGTTGACTTGTGTACTTGGGGGTAGCCCGTCCTCGGTGTACTTGTTACTTGTAGGTATTATGCGTGCCAATAGGATCCTCCCCTGCACGAGGCATAATCTAGCGCATCGTAAGCTGAAGTCGTTTGGCGCCAAAATCCGCGCCCGAAGAAAAGCCAGCAGCAGCCTAGTGGACGAAAACCGCAGCCGCAGCTCGCCGGCACACAGCCTAGTGGCGGCAAACCACGCGCCTGCTGGTGGGCAGCTTTGCCCTCGCCGCCGACCTCGTACGTTCAGCCCTTTTGACGAGCGGCGAGAAGGCGAACCAAAACAGGCGGCGAGGCCGGGCTGGGCCCAACGAGGGCAGGGGCATCAAGGCGATATGACGCGATATGATGCGCTACGAGAAAGTGGCCCCCGCGACTGCGTCGAGTGAATTTCGTGAGAAACGACGCCGCGAGACGGGAGACACGAAAAGGGCAAACGAATCGCGCAATCACTCCGCAAAGGAAGAGGGGAGGCGGCGCCAGCGACGGAGAAAGGCAGCCGGGATGGATGGGTTGGAAATGTCGACGTCTGATGCATGACCTTGGGTATACGCTCTCTGCGCGCGTATATATACCTACCTACATACGTGCATAAATGAATGGGCGAGCGAGTGGATCGGCGGATGGAAGGATACACCGATATACCGACGGGGAGATGGACGGAAGAATCACATTGTATAGCCACGAAATTCCTCAGTGCTCTCGAGGATCGGTCTACCTATCTTTGCTTCTTGGCCCCCATCGACTTGACCTGGTACAAAAGCGTGAGCCCTTTTTCATCATCAGGGCAGCCAAGTAGCTCTGCGCGCTCGCTCGCTTGTATGTGGTAATACACAAGTTTGAATGGTTTCAAGCCTCCCTCGACAAAGCCGTCTTCCATCCTTTCCCGGTTGGTATGATGAAGCGAAAATACTCCGGGACATGAAGCAGACTGGAGATCTGCCTCCCTCGGATCATGGTGAGACCACTGCATGCTGTTACCAATTTCTCCTCCCTGGATTATCAATGAATAGTGCCTATTTTCCTTTTGATTCCCGTTTGCCATGAAACGCCACGAATACACTTGATAGGAATAACCTGACGGGGACCGTCACCGTAATCATACATTCCTCCGATCCCACCGTCGGACAACACTGCCCAGGCACACCTTCAACAGCCCCTGCGCCGTGAGACCTTCGTCGCCTTCTTCGCCGTTCCAGGGCACGGTGTCGACCATGTCTCGGATGTGGTACTCGCCGCTCAGCGTATCGTCCAGTTCCCTGAGCATGTCCCTAGCCTCGGGTTCCCTTCCGACCTGGAAGAATTGGATGCCGACCTGCCACGGCTCGGCGGACACGCCGTCGAGTTTCCTGGCGGCGCTGACAATTACGCTCTCGACGTCGTCGGAGGGAACCCCGTCTGTGATGACGATGATGTTGAGCGGTTTCACGGTTGCCTCGTGGCCGTGGGCCTGGCGTTCGAGGGAGTCGGCCAGTTCGTAAAGGTACGGTTTCAGGATCTGGTTGAGGCGTGTCCCCGTGGGTGTGCCGCCCAAAGGCCGCACGTTTTGGAAGAGACTCTGCACCGCGGTCGTGGTTGTGATGTTTGTATAGCCACCCTGGTTTGTGTGCGGGTTCCGATGATTCAAAAAGTAGACGTCGATTCCGTCGGGGTCGTGGGCAGTACAGATGGGAGCGATGGCGGCGAGGGCGGCCGAGGTCTCTCTCCAGGAGCGGCCGGCCATGGAGCCAGAATCGTCGATGAGGAAGATGGTGTCGAAGGTGCGCAGGAAGGCATATGGCGAGTCATCGGCGACTTGCATGGCATTGGACAGGTCGGCGGGCGAATAGGGGACATTGGTATTGTTCGACGCTGCTGAGCGTGGAGAGTATGGCGGAGGGGGGTCAGCTGCTGCCGGACGACGAGTTGGCGTGGTGGTAGCGAACGGGTTGTTGGCATCCCGGTTGTTGTTTCTGGCCCAAGCGATGGGGGATTGAGATTGAGATGGTCGTGGGGACGCTGTCAAGGGTGCTGCTGGCAACGAACTATGACTAGTTTTGAACGACTTCCTGGAACTCAGCCGGCGAAAGAGATTATCCATCTTGGGCAGACGGGAGTGGAAAGAGTTGGGTGAGATGAGGATGGGAGCCTCCATGGTGCCGGTTGTTGTTGTTGTCTTTGTTTGGATTTTTTTACCCTCGTGACTGAAGTGACGCAGTGACACGGATCGATTTGCCACGTGGAGCTAGTCAAGTGAAAAGTGAGAGCAGAGCAAGAGCAGAGTTAGGGTTGGTGTTGTTCTTGTTCTTGTTCTTGTTCTTCTTGTCCTTCTTGTTTGTCGTGATCGTTTCTTTTCCTCGAGGCCACCCCAGCGAAGTTATACTTCTGATTCTTCTTCTTCCCTCCGGCACACAACAAGCCCTCATCACGCATCCGCAATACTCCCTCGCGCCTCTCGATTCCGCCCAGGCTGCATCTTGAGGGCTCAGGAGGGCCCAGGAGGGCTGTAACGTGAACTCTTGATACACAAGAGAGCATCATTTATCAATGAGGAATGATCCCCGTGTGCACAGCCTTACTGGCCCCCCACCCCGCTAGCAACGCGAGGACCCTCCAACACCCAGTGAGACTAGCCGACGAGGCGCAGCAGGCATCCCACTTCCCACCCACTCTCGGTGACTCTCGACCCCGAGTAATCCAGAATCCTTCTCCAGAATCCTTCTCCAACAAACACGCGCTTGTCATCGCTGGCTCGATTTGCCTCCTGGCCGATCTCTTCGTTTCTTCTGCCTGATTCCGCCTCGGCGGCTCGCTCGAAGGGTTAACGTGCGACAAAACAACCGTTATTGTATTTGCCGAGAACCCTTGCAAGCCCTTCTAGGACCCAACGGCAGACACATCCATTGGGCACTCTGCGTTTCTCAAACAACATGGCGCTATCCTCTCCAGAGGGCGCGAATAGGAGGGGGAAGGGGGGCTTACGAGACGTTTGAGTCCCCCTGGGCAAGCCTGGGGTAAGAGGCGGTACAAAAGTATAATATTCGAATTCGAAAGCTGATCCTCAAGGCAGACTTGTTCGACTTCCATTGCTCGATCCTCACGAGAGGCCCTACAAGAGGAAGAATCACGTCAAGAGGACGCACAGCTGTGACGGTGGTCAGATGCATCCACCTTTTGCGCAGCTCCCGCCTGCTTCCACAACGCACTCTCACTCCCTTTTGACCCAGTGCACATGTTACGACAGCCACCTGATAGTATAAGCAGCGGGAAGGGAAAAGGTGCAGAAAAATATGGATTCATGTGCAGTTTACAGCCCGTAGACTAGGTACTCGTAGCCATTTCATATGCACACCCAATCCAATCCACTGACATCCAAGCCACCAACTCCATGCAGGTTCTGTACCCTCGTGATAAGAGCATTCTGTTCTCCATTCCAATTTATGTTCGTGTCAATTTTCAGCTAGGCAAGTGCTGTCTCGTTTCATTCGTGGCGCCGTTTCATTTACCGGTTGGTCGTTCCCGGACGATCATGCAAGGAAAACACGGGACAGAAAACAATGCCTCTTTCACACTCCGGCTATGCAACGCCAAACCCATGTCGTACGCTGGAATTCGCCCATAGCAGATGCATTTGTCACACAGCGCCCAGTTCGCATGTATGGCAGCGCGGAACCGAGCAGTTCGTAAACCAATCTCGACAAGAAACCGCGGCAACATTAATGCCGCTTGTATTTCTAAGCTCGTCGTTAGCATTGACTCGCACGCAAAACATCACACTACGAAGGACCATACTTACCTCGTCAATCCTCCTTAAATTCTGTTTGTCCAGCATATTGCCCGCACCCATCAATGTCTGCCCAACCGCTTTCGTGGCTCCAATCGCGGGCCGCAGAATAATCGTCGGGCTCTGCTTGAGAATCGCCTTGGCCGCGCCCTTGGCTGAAGAACTAGCCATGACCTCTCCAGGGACCGCCACGATTGCGTCTCGAGCGATCAATAGATCTCGCTCCAGGTTTGCATACGCCGTCCTCAACCCTTGCTTGATGCCAATTGGCTGGTCGGCATACAGAGAAATCTGCTTCCGCGTCTCATCCTCGTCCTCGATTTCCCCCTGCTGTTCGCGAGTCACGAGCAGATCTTCCGTATTCTGAAGAATCTGCTGCGTGCCAATCGCCATCTTGGCTCCGAGATTGACCAGTTCAGTCGCCGTCGTCTTGGCAAATGCCAATGCTCCTTTCTGAATGCTTCGGACAAGCCTTCCGTCCTTGCGATATTCGCGAATCGGCACCGCGATGAGGTCTCGCACTCCGCTCGTAACATCAACCAGAGGTCGGACAGGCGCCAACCCAGCAAGAACTCCCGGAAGTTGATTTCGCCTGACGTCCGGCGTCCAGATGTTGTTCAACATGATACCCAGCCGGTCGAATCCAGACACTCCATACAGAATGACTCGGCGCAGGACCATGTCTGCTCGGTCCAGGACGAAGAAATTCATGAATTCGGTCGTC